TTTGACTTTAAATAGAGCAGGAATTTATAGAAAATGGCATTAAAATAGCGAAAGGAAGAGAAAATAGTGTCGAATATAATTGATGGAAAAAGGAAATAGGAAGCACGAGAGAATGGCAAAATTTAGAAGAACATGAAGAATGAAAATGGAAGAGGTTTACCAAGGATGAAGAGAAAGAGGAAATGGAAGGGTCTTTGTGGAGTTCCAGTGGCAAACAATTCTGTTGTGAAAGCCCCGTCCTCTCTGTCGGAGTCCTGGGTCAGCACTATATAACCTCTATGGTTAATTTTTAAAGAGGTGGAGGGGTAAGCCAGTGGAAGGCTGTGGTCAGATAACTAAAAGCTTCAGCTGCGGGTCGTCGTATAACTAAGATCCGCGTCAGGAAGCACTTGTCCTGTTTCCTGACGAATCTTGCCTAACCTAACTTGACTCACGAAATCGTAATGACACGATTGCAAACAAACCATACCACGGGCGGGGATAGAACCCGCGATCAGAGAGTCTCAAAACTCCAGACCGTCGCGTTAGCCACTGGACCAGCTAGCCACAATAAGATTCATCCAACTAGGTATATTTCTACACCATAGGAAGGTTAGCTTAGGCACCACTGTGACCACAAATGCAATCGTGTCATTACGATTTCGTGAGTCATGTTGACGGCTTTGAGGGACTTGAGCTAGAGTTCGTCACGGCCATGCTAGCTGGAGATTCGTCTGTAAAAACTTGCATTTGTGGTCACAGTGGTGCCTATGCTAACCTTCCTATGGTGTAGAAATATACCTAGTTGGATGAATCTTATTGTGGCTAGCTGGTCCAGTGGCTAACGCGACGGGCTGGAGTTTTGAGACTCTCTGCTCGCGGGTTCTATCCCCGCCCGTGGTATGGCTTGCCTAACCTAACCTAAGCATGTGGGTTATACAGTGCTTCCTCTTTTCCTAATCCTTTTATCTCATGAAACACACTGCCACAAGTACTCGTTACAAGGTGGAATCAGTTAAAAGTACTACAGTCTTTGATAAGATTTTAGAAGTTACTATCTACACTCTTAAATAACAAAAAATAGGTACAATGCCGTGACTGGAACAATACACAAATAACCGGCTTACGACGACGTTCCGGTCCGACTTGGACCATTTAAAAAGTCACACAGTGTGACTTTTTAAATGGTCGTCGTAAGCTCCTCTCTTCTATGTGCGGGTTATTTGTGTATCTACATTCTTTTTACCTCAGTAGTTGATCTAATTCTAAGGCCTCGCACTGAATGACAAGCAAGTCTAGGCGACTTGTTTGTTCTTCAATATACAGTAAAATTGATTATGAAAACTTCTCATCTGGATGGAGATACACAAATAACCTGCACATAGAAAAAATAAACATATGACTACGTTTAGGTCCTACATGGATCGAATTTTCTTTATCTTTGTGTATTATTCCAGCCACGGAATTGTCTTTTCATTCTTTTTGGAGTGAGATCTGTGACTGGTAAAAGGAACACATCTGACTTCCTAATGGGTTTTCCATTTGCTTTGTATACAAGTTGTGTGAAAGCTGGGCATTATCTTACATGAAGTTCTGATGTGTCGAGAAGCCATGCTGACTCACGTAAAGATTCATCCTGGACTTGGGTCCAAGAAAGTATGTAGGCCACGATGAATTACAACTTGATTTGCTCAGTGGTGAAGACAGAGTAAAGAAACGTTAAATCACGTTTATTAAATTGTTCACAAGCAGTGTCCAAAATATCTTGCTACCAAGTTTTTCAAGACCGGGAACCAAAACAAGTGTGGTACTAGGGGACGTAAACACAGTTGTGTAGTCTCCACAGTATGTGGTCAAACACATTATTGTACAGCAGTAAAGGAGTGGAAAGGACTGCCTTAACATGTCAGAGCAGGTCCTAGCATGTCAGAGCAGGTACTAGCATGAGCCAGTTCAGGAAGAGAGCTAAAAGACTTTTAATGAATGAAGCGACAGAGAGTGATTTCTTGTATAGCTAACAGTCATGTATCTATTATTGTAAGTTGATCGTTAATGTTAATACAGATAACTCAGTTTACCTTATTCCTAGCATGTCTCCTATTATTGTAATTGATTTTCACACTGAGTTACTCTTAGGTTAATATAAACCTTTATGGTTTAAATAATTAGATATTAGAAGTACCTCCAATTTCAATAAGACACATCTTATGTCTCTCTTTGGGTTACCCTAGGCCTAGGCAATTAACCCACATGATACTTATGTATGATAATTTGTATAACTGTGTACCTGTACCTACTTAATAAACTTACTGTAATACGTCATAAAGTTCTACACACAGCGAAACGTCGTCCAGATAAAAGCTTGCTCTACACCTGTGTCTTTAATTTGATAAAACATGAGGAGAAGGCTACTGACTTACCCAGGACCTTCTCTGCCGCACCTACGATGTTGTAAGTAATCTCGTCTTCGTACGTGAGGCGGACCAGGAAGGAACCTTCCATGTGAACCTCTGCCTCGCGCCTGTAACAAGTGTTAATTCCTTTAATAAAACACATAGGCTTTATGAACCTGTAACAAGTGTTCATTCCTTTAATAAAACACATAGGCTTTATGATCCTGTAACAAGTGTTTGTTCCTTTTAATAAAACACATAGGCTTTATGATCCTGTAACAAGTGTTCATTCCTTTAATAAAACATAGCTTTATGATCCTGTAACAAGTATCATTCCTTTAAAAAACACATAGGCTTTATGATCCTGTAGAAAGTATTATTCCTTAATAAAACACTGGCTTTATGACCCTGTAACGAATAAACTATTCCTTTAATAAAACACATAGGCTTTATGATCCTGTAACAAGTATTCATTCCTTTAATAAAACACATAGGCTTTATGATCCTGTAACAAGTGTTTGTTCCTTTTAATAAAACACATAGGCTTTATGATCCATGCATGTAAATGGTTTTTAATAGCAAAAAAAAGAACAACGACAAAATAAAAACAGTAACAAAAACATTCACTAGCCGTAGAGAACGTAAAATTTTGAGTGGAATATTCGGTTCCGCCACTGCGAAAACTATTGTATATATTAAAGGATACAGAGCATGAGAAATACATCACTTAGTATATATACAGTGAAAGTTGACTTCAATCTCTCTTAGGGATTATTGTATTTTGTGACGAGCCAGTTCAATGCAGGTATAACCCTCGTGTAATTAGTAGGTATTATACACATTAACTATCCAAACAGAGAAATTCACTGTTTCACAAAATATTTTAGATGAAATAATTGTGTTGACATTAAAAATTTATGGCTGTGATATACTGTACATGTTGAAGACAGGTCTAGTTAGAACTCTTACTCTGTAAATGGGTGTTGGTAAAATATATCAGTTTAGTGGATGATGATATTTCATGTGGGTAGTTACGTATGTATGCATATATGTATGAATATACATATATATATATTTATATATATATTTATATATATATATATATATATATATAATATATATATATATATATATATATATATATATATATATATATATATATATATATATATATATATATATATATATAATATATATTTTATATATATATATATTTTATAAAATATATATATAATATAATAATATAATATAATATATATATATATATTTTATATATATATATATATATATATATATTATATATATATATATATATATATAATAATATATATATATATATATATATATATATATATATATAAAATATATATATATATATATATATATATATATATATATGTATGTATATATGTCGTGCCGAATAGGCAGAACTTGCGATCTTGGCTTAAATAGCAACGCTCATCTTGCCATATAGGACAAGCGAAAATTTGTGTATGCAATAATTTCGCCAAAATCATTCTGAACCTAACGAAAAAAATGTATTTCACTGTGTTTCTTTAGTATTAAATTATTGTAAACAAATCTAAAATATATTTAGTTGGGTTAGGCTATAATAAATTACTCTTGTTATAATAAGGTCAGGCAAGTTTTCTAAGATTCTTTAAGTGCAATATTATAAATTTTTACATTAACCTTATTGAAAAAAAATATCTTTAAACGTATAACAGAAAATTTTAGAAAGGACTTAATATTAAATGAGTTCTTGCTAATTGACCAGTTTTACATATTCGGCACGACATACATACATACATATATATATATATATATATATATATATATATATATATATATATTATATATATATATATATATATATATATATATATATATATATATATGTATAAAGTATATATATATACACAATACTAAAATACGTTGGATTTTCTTATGGAAACAGACGGAGGTTTAAAATTTCCTAGATTAATTTTTTTTTTGTATTATCTTGAACGTCAGTGTCTCGTATATCAGCCTTCTACGTTTTTACTATTGTTCCTGAGGAAAAACACACACTATTAAGCTCCGCAGCGATGGTGATGATTGTGGATGATAGTGGTGATGATGGTGGACGATACTGGTGATGGATGATAGTGGTGATGGTGGATGATAGTGGTGATGGTGGATGATAGTGGTGATGATGGTAGATGATGATGGATGATGGTGGATGATAGTGGTGATGGTGGACGATAGTGATGATGGTGGATGATGGTGGTGATGATGGTGGATGATGATGGATGATGGTGGATGATAGTGGTGATGGTGGATGATAGTGGTGATGATGGTGGATGATGGTGGTGATGATGGTGGATGATGGTGGATGATGGTGAATGATGATGGATGATGGTGGATGATAGTGGTGGTGATGGTAGATGATAGCGCACTCAGCTCTCACACTGAGGTCCGGGGTTCGAATCTCCTCCTCGGAAAAACAGTCAGGACGTGTTTCCACAAGACATCCGTTGTTCCTGTTCACCCATCAGTAAAATTGGTACCTGGGTGTTAGTGGACTGGTGTGGGTCGCATCCTGGGTGTTAGTGGACTGGTGTGGGTCGCATCCTGGGTGTTAGTGGACTGGTGTGGGTCGCATCCTGGGTGTTAGTGGACTTGTGTGGGCCGCATCCTGGGTGTTAGTGGACTGGTGTGGGTCGCATCCTGGGTGTTAGTGGACTGGTGTGGGTCGCATCCTGGGTGTTAGTGGACTGGTGTGGGTCGCATCCTGGGTGTTAGTGGACTGGTGTGGGTCGCATCCTGGGTGTTAGTGGACTGGTGTGGGTCGCATCCTGGGACAAAACTGACCTAATTTGCGGGAAATGTTCAGCATAACAAGCGACTTTCTATATAGTAGTATGTCACTGATGTCAACTATGGTCTGTATACCTTGTACTTGTAGTAAATAAAGATATTATTATTATTATTATTATTATTATTATTATTATTATTATTATTATTATTATTATTATTATTATTATTATAAGGGTCATTTAAGATAGCCAACCAGTCTTAGGTTCCTCGTAGGGAGAGATGCTCATCCGCTTTTTCTCTGCAGTTACGTTAACGTATATTACTCTGTATTCATTTATAAATATAGGATAATATAGGTTAACGTAGCTACATCAATTATAACTAAACCTAATCACTCCTAACAATGTTTAGACACCTAATCACTCCTAATAATGTTTAGACACCTAATCACTCCTAACAATGTTTAGACACCTAATCACTCCTAATAATGTTTAGACACCTAATCACTCCTAACAATGTTTAGACACCTAATCACTCCTAATAATGTTTAGACACCTAATCACTCCTAACAATGTTTAGACACCTAATCACTCCTAATAATGTTTAGACACCTAATCACTCCTAATAATGTTTAGACACCTAATCACTCCTAACAATGTTTAGACACCTAATCACTCCTAACAATGTTTAGACACCTAATCACTCCTAATAATGTTTAGACACCTAATCACTCCTAACAATGTTTAGACACCTAATCACTCCTAATAATGTTTAGACACCTAATCTAACCTAATCATTTAGAAATGCACAAACAGTAAATCCGGGAGAAAGGGACACGCTAATTGGTGGACAAGATACATAAACTCACGGAGAAAAAGAAGACTAACTCTCCCTGGGAAGATGAGAAAATAACTATAATATCGCAGCAAAATCCTATTAGGGTTGCAACTGATGAAAATTGTACCAGTGATGAGGTCTATCATGCCTCGTGTTCCCAGGTCAGTTAATCCCGGTGATGGAGCTCTGGGGAAGACTTTAGACGTAATTTAGCGCCCATCTGGCAGGTTAAGATGCAACACGAACCATGGACAAGATGAAGAATTTCTGCCGCTACTTCTTCACTCGAGTCTGTGCAAGAAAGTCCCTTGCAGAAGCTTTATTTTGCTTAATGAGGTTGAGAAAGACTTTGTTTTTTCTATCTCAAGTTAATTCATAAGGATTTTCAGTCTTATGTCATTTAAGGCTCTGGGGGCCTGGTGGTTAACGCTCTCGCTTCACACGGTGAGGGCCTGGGTTCGATTCCCAGCCAGAGTAGAAACATTGGACGTGTTTCTTTCCACCTGTTGTCTATGTTCCCCATCAGTAAAATGGGTACCTGGGTGTTAGTCGACTGGTGTGGGTCGCATCCTGGGACACTGACCTAAGGAGGCCTGGTCACAGACCGGGCCGCGGGGGCGTTGACCCCCGGAACTCTCTCCAGGTAAGGACGCATGAAAGAATTTTTTTCAACCTCCATCAAAGCCATTTAAGCTAATCCAGCAAGACTTTTCGAGTAAACTTCTGATTTCATAAATGTCCAAAGCAGATGGGAACGTTTTGTAAGACGAAGAATGAGGGGAGACATGATCGAAGTGTATAAGTGGAAACATGACTCATGTTAACGGCTTTGAGGGGACTTGAGCTAGAGTTCGTCACGGCCACGCTGGCTGGAGATTCGTCTGTAAAAACTTGCATTTGTGGTCACAGTTGTGGCCTATGCTAACCTTCCTGTGGTGTAGAAATATACCTAGTTGGATGAATCTTATTGTAGCCAGCTGGTCCAGTGGCTAACGCGACGGTCTGGAGTTTTGTGACTCTCTGACCGCGGGTTCTATCCCCGCCCGTGGTATGGTTTGTAGAAGTGCAAGATTGGTATTAGCAAAGGGGATATAAATAAGGTTTTGAGGATATCTTTCCGAGAGAGAACCCGCAGTAATGGAGTCAAATTAGACAAGTTTAGATTTCGAAAGGATATAGGAAAGTACTAAAAAAAAAAAAAAAAACCATACCACGGGTGGGGTTTGAACCCGCGGTCAGAGTGTCTCAAAACTCCAGACCTTCGCGTTAGCCACTAGAGTTTTGAGACTGACCGCGGGTTCAAACCCTACCCGTGGTTTGGTTTGTTTGCAGTCGTGTCATTGCGATTTCGTGAGTCAAGTTAGGAAAGTACCAGTTTGGTAATAGGGTAGTTGATGAGTGGAACGGTCTGCATAGTAGGGTTATTGAAGCTGAAACCTTAGGTAGTTTCAAATTTAGGTTGTATAAATACCTGAGTGTGAGTATTGGATAT